ACTTTAAGAAACAACACAGATGAACATAGGGGAAAGTTCAGGAAAAAGATAAGAGGCAAACCATAAGAGACTCTTTACCACAGAGAAGACATTGAGGGTGGGCAGGGAATCGGCTAAATGGAGGGTGGATATTAAGGAGGGAAGTTGTTGAATGAGCACTGGGTGTTATATGTAAGTGGTGAATCATTAAATTCTATACTGAAAAAAAGCTGTAACAATCCAAGTAGAAAATGGGCAAAAGACACAAAGAGACATTTCATTGAGGCAAATACTGGTAGCAAATAAACATATGAAAAGATGGTTAATTTCTTTAGCCATTAGAGAAATTCAAATCTTATCACAATTATATCACTATACACCTATCAAAAACACTAAATGAAAAACAGTGGCAGTGCCAAATAATGGCAAGGACGCAGAGAAACTGCCACTCAGACATTTCTGGTGGTGAAGTAAAATGATATATCCACTCTAGAAAACAGTCTGTAGCTTCTTAAAAAACGAAACACGAAATTAACATATGACTCAGCAATTGCACTTCTGTGCTTTTATCCTTAGGACATGAATACTTACGTACACATGTTTATAGCAGCTTTATTCATAAACTGGAATCAGCACAAATGTCCTTCTACTGGTGTATGCTTAAACAAACAGAGGAACATCCATGGCATGGAATACTGCTCAGCAATAAAAAACAGAAGTCGGAGCAATTGATACACAGAATAACCTGGATGAGCCTCAGTGAAAAAAAGCCAATTTCTAATGATTCCAGTAACAATGCATTTATGAAATGAGAAATTACAGAAATGCAGAAAATATAGTGGCTGCCAGAACTTAAGGAAAAGATAAGGGCAAGAGAGAAATGGGTTTGCTGATAAAAGGGCAACATGAGAATCCTCATCATGAAGTTATTCTGTATCCTGCCTGCATCCATGTCAATAACCTGTTAATGTACTATAGTTTGTAACATGTTACATTTGAGAAACTGGGCAAAGGGTACATGGAATCTTTAGGTAGTATTTCTTACAACTATCTAACAGTTTTTAGTTTAGTACTTTTAGTTTTCATGAGCTTAATCATATATGCAAATATTTTTGCATCTGTCTTTTAAATATGTATTGTTCATTTCTGTCTTGTTGTACTGTATTGACAGAAACTGCCAAAGCACAATGAAATAACAGGTATGAAGAATATTTTTGCCATCTTGTTTTATTAAGAACATATCTAGTATTTCCCCTTTTGGTATATGCATGTTTTTATTTGTTTTTATTTTTTAAACTTAAATTCAAGTTAGTTAATATACAATGTAGTCTTGGATTCAGGAGTAGAACCCAGTGATTCATCTCTTAAACATGACACCCAGTGCTCATCCCCAAAAGTGCCTTCCTTAATGCCCATCAGCCATTTAAACCATCCCCTCACCCTGCCCCCTCCAGCAACCCTCAGTTTGTTCTCTGCCTTTAAGAGAATCTTATGGCTTTCATTATTTGAATAGATATAGATTCTATAAGCCCTTATCTGCAATTACAAAATCCAAACAGCTTTGGAAACTGAGCATTTTCCCCTAAGTTTGGGCCCTAATAAACTGATCTTCAACACACCCTAGATTAAACAGAATATCAGCTACAGACATGAAACTAAAAGCCAAAAACCCTAACTCTCAACTCGGTGCTCCTATGATGTCAGGGAATTAAGAAATGTGACCTACATGGTATCAGGAGATAAAGGAAGAAACAATCTGGCATTGTTGAGTCCCTATCATGTTCTACGCACTTGATACATCTCATAACATTTACTTCTCTCAGCAACTCTGTGAGGTACATTAATTCCATTTTACAGATTAAGAATCTAAGGCTCAAAGATGTTAAATAAACTGCCCAAGATTTCATAACTGAGCTAGGATATAAAGCCAGACTGACTTGGCCCAAAGCTAAAGGGTTTCCTTTGAACAGGAATGTGGCATGATAGAAAGGAGTGGAGACTGACAAGCGGGAGGCAAGGGGAGAAACTATGAGGTTGTAGGGTATTTATTGTGACCACTTCTTCATGGAACTTTCCTGATAAACTTCTTTTTCCTAACTTTCCCAAACATATATTTTTCATCTGTCCCAGTCTTTTTTTGTTTGTTTGTTTGTTTTGGTCTCTTGGGCTCCTGCATCAAAGCCATCCCAAGGCATCAGAAGGAGTAGGGCAAAAGGGGACCATAGGAGCGAGGTGCAAGATAAAAGCACCTTTCCTGATTTGGCAGTGTTCTCTGATCATGGGAGGAAGAGAAGATGGAGTCTCTACACTATCTTTCTTTGTCCTGATGCATCACATTTCTTTTATACACATTCCCTAAGTCCTTTCCTAACCAGCCTGGTCATCTTAGGAGGACTCTGAGGGAAAGACATCCAAATAAAGTGAGTGTATTCTATTATCTGCTTCTTTCCTCTTCAAGTGGTCAATTTCCCCATGTTTTCTTTCTGTCTAATACATTTCTCTTCCTGCTACTGTCTACGCCTAATAAAACCCAAACTCCTATCAGTATTTTCCACATCTGGTCCATCCTAATCCTCAGACTGATATTGCTTTCTACATCTTTTCCACTCATAGCTGGTTTATTTATTTGCAATCTGCCTGGCCTCCCTAAAGTTTTATAATCTTCCATTCATAGTCAATTCTTTCTATATTATAGATATCTTTGCCTTATCTTCTTTCATTGGATCTTTTGTCTATATAGCAAATTTATCCTACCCAAATATGCTCTATATTATCTACAGAAATTCTAACCTCTTTGCACATAATCTAACTTTCTTATGTTTTATCTGGTTCCTGCAGGTCTACTCATTCTTCTACATTTGATGTTTGTTTTCCTTACATATTATTCCAATTCTGTCAAGTTTTCTGGTAATCCATTTAAATTCTCTACTCCTGATCATTTCCAAACAACTCCTTTTTACATCATGCCTTCTTTACAGCCCATTCCTATGATCTGCAATTCATCAGTTCTGCCTGTATCATACCTTTCTCCATTTTCCCATCCGTCCATACAACCATTTACCTTTACTAATAGCCATAATACCTTTACTAAAGCCGAGCTTATAATAGGAGCTATTGTCAAAAGGAGAGACAGATATATCAGTAAATAATCTATGTCTAGAAATATGGGTAGTTTTGGAACATGGTAACTAACAAACTGAAACATGAGGGATAAACAATAATTTCTAGGATTAGGGATAGGTATTTTTGATAGAAAGAAGAGTATGTGCAAATTCCAGAGTTAGAGAACAACATGTCACACTTAGAAAAAGGGAAATAGTGGGCAATGACTGGATTATTGTAGGACAGTTAAAAGGAAATATATTTGGGGCTTATTTTGTATGAATTTTCCCCAAATTGGATGCACTTGGGGCCAGTGATATGGTCATACTTCTACATAAAATCTCACTCTAGAAACAAATGACATTTAGATTTATGAGGGTTGAGACCAGAGGAAGAAAGATCAGGTAATAAGATACTGACATAGCTAAACTGAGAAATAACAAGGACCTGATGGGCATAAGCGACTGGGGGGAAGGCAGTAGAAATAGGACAGGAGAGAAGGACAGACATGAGAGATAATTAAAGAAGAAGTTAAGATATAACTTAGATTAGTTGTGAGTGAGATGTGGGTTTGGGATGGGGAGAATAAATATGTAGGAGACTTTCAGATCTCTGGTATAGGTGATTGCATGGAAACTAATGTTATTGACTGTGATAAAGGAATAACAGGCTTAGGAAATATTTTTCTAGACATTTTGTATTTGAGGGACCCATGTGACACTAAGAGAATTATGTCCACTCCTTGCTATACCATTAAGGACATCTGAGGCACTTTGGCATAAAGTTCTTCCTGTATATCCACCTGCATAATAGCAGCAGTGATATAGCTAGTGAAATAATTGCTAGGCTTTCACAGGCTCTAATGGGAACAGTAATGAGAGGAACCTCACCAAACAAGTGTTAGGTGAAAGAAAGAAAGAAGGACAATTAATGCCTCTATGTGGAGATGCCACAAAAGCCAAGATTTGAAGGTTAAATCGGAATGGCCACCCTTATGCAGATTGCAGCACAAGCAAAGGTACAGAGGTGATAAGCATGCTGTAAAAATTTTTTAGTGTTTATTTATATTGGAGAAAGAGAGACAGAGCGTGAGTTGGGGAGGGGTAGAGAGAGATGGAGACACAGAATCTGAAGCAGACTCCAGGCTCTAAGCTGTCAGCATAGAGCCTGACCCAGGGCTCAGAACTCACAAGCTGTGAGATCATGACCTGAGCCAAAGTCGGACACTTAATTTACTGAGCTACCCAGGCACTGCCCACCCTCTCCCCAGATGTGATAATCATATGGTATACCAAGAGCTGCAAGGTATAAAATACAATGTAGTCTGTGACAAGAGATACGGTTTTGGTAATAGAAGTGCATATCATGAGATACTTATGTGCCTTGTTAAATAGCTTGAATGTTGTTGTGTAGGCAGTGGGATACTATGAAAGAATTTTAAGTAGGGAAATGAAATGGTCAGATTTGAGCTTCAGGGAAAGATTACAGGCAGTGAGACCAATTAGGAGCCCACATGTGAGAGGCTGACTTTTTGTTTTTAGCGTGCAGAGCATCAAATATGAGGATAGAGAAGATTAAAGGATAAGCGGGAAGATCTGAGGCCAAGAGGGTTAAATGCACAACAAATAGTATATCAGGCAGGTATTGAGGAGAAAGGATCAAGGGTAAGGATATGAATGTAATTGTACAATTACAATTGTAATTTTTAGGTTCCCTTTTATGAAGCTGGTACATGGTATAATGGTAGGCATAGCAGTTTAAATTTTCAAGAATGAGAAGAGGAAGATATGTCCCCACCACTAGACTGTAAACCACTTAAAGACTTAGTAAGTCTCTTGTTTGCCTTTTATGTACTAAAACTTTTAGTCTGTATGAGGTAAAGGTTGTGTTAACTAACTTTATTGTGGTAAATATTTCACAATATATACCTGTATCAAATTGTCACATAGTATACCTTAAGCTTACACAATGTTCTATGTCAATTATCTCTCAACAAAGCTAGAAAAAAAGTCATTAGCAGGTTGAAGTTTGATATATGAAGTTTGATATTGTTCTCAGAGGAACGAGCTTGAAACTAAAAAGTAAGGAAACTCCTTGGGGGAAATAGCACCCTGATGTTTAGCTGACTCTCTCCTATTCTCCTTTCTAATCTCTGTACTCCCTTCCAATGTATGACCATGTCGAGACAGTAGGGTGACAATAACCCCATGTGACTATGTCTGCTTCTGTTGCACATCAAATCCAGAAGAGGCTTGAAATTTTGAAAGGGCAAATTTTATTTTTGATACCAAAGTAAACAAAGAGAGTACTCTACTGAATGTATGCTTTTTTATTGGTCTTGTTACTGGCAAAATAATTAAACAAAGAGGTCATTAGACTGAGATGGCTCTCACGCCTTGGTTGCCTACTTATTAAGCAAACCAAAACTTAAGCTAGAGTCAATTGTAAATGTGTTCATATCCAAGAAAATAAAATTTAAGAACAACCAATCACAAACAGCCAAGGAAACTTTCCCAAGTAAGGCAACCACTTAAATGTAGCTAATCAAATAATGCCCTTGCCTTTCTTCTGAGTCTGCTCTATAAAAGTCTTTCCATTAGCTTCCGTCAATAGAGCTCAGTTTACTGCTTTCCGTTTGGTGCTGCCCAATTTAAATCAATGTTTCTCACATAAACCCTTGAAACTTTCAATATGCCTCAGTTTAATTTTTGACAATACTCGAGAAGGGGGCTACTCTCATTCCAAGAGAGCACAAATTTCAGAACTGATGGGATTCTCAGTATTTCTACCATCCAGAATACCTTCCTAATATAATTTCAAGGTGCATCCCAAGTCCTCCTCTAAGGGCAGGTTTTGTAGAAGTTTCAATCCAGAGATGCTGTGACTTCTTGGGTTCTACAATGTTCCTTCTTTCTTGTAGTATGGAGTTGCTTCTGTAGCTGAGCCCCAAAGATCCTCTCCCCTGGATATAAATCCAGGACGGATCTTATAGTCCCTCCTTTGTGTTGCCCGAATATTTTCGAAGCTCTGAGGTCCTGACTTCCTGGTTCCATCTCTTACTATCTGTGTGATCTGGAACATGTTACTTAATCTCTTTATGCCTCGGTTTTCTTAGATGTTAAGTGGCGTTAAAATCATACTAACTCACAGCATTCTTCTGAAGATTAAGTGAATTAATATCTGCAAATATTTTAAAACAAAGTCCATACAATTAATGCATAGCAAATACTCAATTGTTTTACATGTTTAGTACTGTTATTCCTCCATTGTGTAACTTATTTCCTCAAAACAGAGTCACAATCTAGCTCACAAACTCTCACTTTAGGGCAGCCTAGACTCTCTTACTACTCTATTTGGTTTTTATCTATATTCTTCAGTAACCAACTAGTGTCACTTTTACAAGTATTTATCAGTATATTCTTCTCCAAGGGCCAGAACAGACTCTGACCCTATTCCCAGTATGAAGTAGCTCATTTTTGTTTACTTTTGTCTTAGCTCATTTCCAGATTACAGCAGAAAGTGACGTCCTCAGTTTGGTGGTGAATCACACGCATACAAACATTCTGTCAATATAAACCCACCACAAGAAAGCCTGGGTTCTTGTTGCTGCCTCCTGAAGGCCCTCTGTTCTCTCTCCTAAAGATCAGTGGGCAAGACTGACATTATGGAGCAGAGGAATCAGAGTGGGAGGGTAAGTGAGTTTGTGTTGCTGGGCTTCCCGGCTCCTGCGCCACTGCGAGCACTTTTATTTGCCCTTTCTCTGCTGGCCTATGTGTTGGTGCTGACTGAAAACACACTCATCATTATGGCAATTAGAAACCACCCCACCCTTCACAAACCCATGTACTTCTTTCTGGCTAATATGTCCTTCTTGGAGATCTGGTATGTTACTGTCACTATTCCCAAGATGTTAGCTGGATTTGCTGGGTCCAAACAGAGCCAGGGACAGCTAATCTCCTTTGAGGGCTGCATGACCCAGCTCTATTTTTTCCTGGGACTGGGCTGCACTGAATGTGTCCTTCTTGCTGTTATGGCCTATGATCGCTATGTGGCCATCTGCCATCCTCTCCACTATGCTGTCATTGTCAGCGGTCAGCAGTGTGTGCAGCTTGCAGCTGGCTCCTGGGCTGGAGGTTTTGGTATCTCCATGGTCAAAGTTTTTCTCATTTCTCGCCTCTCCTACTGTGGACCCAACATCATCAACCACTTTTTCTGTGATGTCTCCCCATTACTCAATCTTTCATGTACTGACATGTCAACAGCAGAGCTTACAGACTTTGTTCTGGCCATTTTTATCCTGCTGGGGCCACTCTCTGTCACTGGGGCCTCCTATATGGCCATCACTGGTGCTGTGGTACGAATTCCCTCGGCTGCTGGGCGCCATAAAGCCTTTTCCACCTGTGCCTCTCACCTCACTGTTGTGATCATCTTCTATGCAGCCAGTATCTTCATCTACGCCCGGCCAAAGGCACTCTCAGCTTTTGACACCAACAAGCTGGTTTCTGTACTCTATGCTGTCATTGTACCTTTGCTCAACCCCATCATTTACTGCTTACGCAATCAAGAGGTCAAGAGAGCCCTACGCCATACGCTACACCTATACCAGGGCCAGGATGCTAAGCGCAGGAAAGCAAGCAGAGATGGGTAGAAAATGCTCTTAAACTTGGCATCTATATCTTCTATGAAGTCCAGAGGAGTTCTTATGCCCTAAATTAAGGACTAGGGCTCAAAAACACCACCATGGAACTAATCCAGAAGGAAGAAGAGGGATGGATTGCAAGCTGGCAGCTGGATTTCTGCAGGACAGCACTGTAAATACATGTTAGAATGTTCCATGTTATCTGCTCTATTGTAATTTACATAGAACAGGTTCACGAATCATGCATCCTGATGGGATGAGAAGGATTGGCTCTGAGCAGAAGACTGACTGCACTTCAATATTTAAATAAGCAAACAAATGCAGAACTAATATCTCTCTAAATGGCCTTTCCTGGGTTGGCTCTTTGTCTAAGTTCTGTGGCTGAAGGTCATTTAGAAAAGGAAAGCAGAAGGAGGAAGCCATTCAAGGAAGCACAGACTTCATTATGGAATAGAATTAGGAGACTTCTGGTTAATCTCTTCTAGTTGCAAACCACTGACGATAGCTTATGAGGTAGCAGAGGTCCAGGTGATTATTTTAGTATGAATTACAAGGCAAGCAGATAGGAAACTGAGAAGTTTTGTGTTAGCAACATGTCACCTAGTGGACTCCAGGTATTTCTATATCCATTTCCTGATTTACCTAGGTCAGTGCACACACCAAGCTAGTGACTAAGTGCACTTATTTAATAAATCTGTTTTAATAATTTACTATAAGCTTATACTCATACATTAAGTGGAATACTATGTAGATCTTAAAATACCATGATCTACATAGAGCTAATGACAGAAATATTCTCAGTATAATAAGTCAAAATATTAGGTTATGTAACAGCATCAAAAGTATTAGGGTTACAAATGGAAAAGGAAAATGTGATATAGATTTACACACACACACACACACACACACACACACACACACACACACACACTGAAATATTACTCAGCCTTAAAAAAGGATAAGATGTGTCATTTGCAACAATATGGATGGACCTCGAGGGCATTCATTACTCTAAGTGAAATAAGTCAGATTAAGTAAGACTAATACCATATGATTTCACTCATATGTGGAATCTAAAAGAACAAATGAATAAACAAACAAAAAGCGAGATCAGACCCATTAACACACAGAACAAACTGACGGTTGCCAGAAGGGAGGAAGGTATGGGATGGGCAAAATGGGTGAAGACGAGTGGAAGATACAGGCTTTCCATTATGGACTGAATAAGTCACAGGAATAAAAAGCACAGGATAGGGAATATAGCCAATGATATTGTAATAGTGACGTAGTGAGACAAATGGTAGCTACACTTGTGGTAAGTGTAGCATAACATATAGAGAAGTTGAATTACTGTGTACATCTGAAACTAATGTACCATTGTGTGCCTGCTGTACTCAAATTTTAAAAATTAATTTTATTTTTTTTTTATTTTATTTATTTTTTTTTTAATTTTTTTTTTCAACGTTTATTTATTTTTGGGACAGAGAGAGACAGAACATGAACGGGCGAGGGGCAGAGAGAGAGGGAGACATAGAATCGGAAACAGGCTCCAGGCTCTGAGCCATCAGCCCAGAGCCCAACGCGGGGCTCGAACTCACGGACCGTGAGATCGTGACCTGGCTGAAGTCGGACGCTTAACCGACTGCGCCACCCAGGCGCCCCTAAAAATTAATTTTAAAAAAGATCATGACTGCTCAGCATGAAACCAAGTATAGGCTTTTCTGAGCAAAGAATACTGTGAGATAGCACAGATGTTATACCCTGAAGCAGACCCTGGTTCTACCTGCAAAAATACATCTAAAATCTGACCATCTCAAAAAAAGAAAAATTACCAGTTTTATTTATTTGTTTGTTTAAATTAGGCTAGAAGGCTGCTTCCGATTCTGTGTCTCCCTCTCTCTCTGCCCCTCCCCTGTTCATGCTCTGTCTCTGTCTCAAAAATAAATAAAACGTTAAAAAAAATTAAAAAAAAAATAAATTAGGCTAGAAGGAAATTAACTGAGATGTTAGCTATAACCGTGCAATTTAGCCATTACTCTTATAAACTGCCTTCTGTGCCAAAGGTATTGTTACCAACATATTGATTTAAACAAGCATTTCTTACCCAATAAAATACACAGCTTTATTCATCTGGGCAGACAGATGGATACAGGGTATCTCAGCATGGTGTTTAGAAACTTACAATGACCTAAGAATCAGAACACTGAAGACAACAGCCTACATGAAGCTTCTCTGATGTGGGAACCTTCTGGGGTTGCTGCCTGTCTTTCCATAGTTTTCTGCAGTTTAATAAAGTCTGAAAGGCTACTAGCAAGGAAATCGAGCATTATTTGCTAGTTGCTACCTATTAAAAATTCTAGTATATGTATCTTTTGGTGCCAAAAGTTACATAACCTTATAAGTATTTTATTATTATAATTTGTTTTTATATTTTATTGTGTTATTACAATCTATTATAACTTACATTTATAATGACTAGATGAAAATTCATCAAAATCCTATCTCTTAACTGTCTCCAAGAATTAATTTCTGAAATGGGTTTACAAATCTGAGACTGGAGTGTCAGTCTCTGGACATCACTGCTGTAG